GTATGGAGGCTATATTAGGGTTGTATTGGGGTTATATTAGGGTGATATTAGTATTAGGGGTATATTCTATTAGGGTTCAATGTCCCACGCTAAGGCCTGTGCACATTGCACAAAAAGTCTCTCTCTAATCACTGATAGCTCTCCTGGGGACTGTGGGAGTATGTAGGGCTTATACAGGGAGGACTATACCTTGGGTCCCCATAACGGATTGTATGAGATCGGCCCGAACCCTAAATAGGGTCTTCACCCCCCGAACCCCGAATATTAAACCCCCCAAAATCCATGAATCCCCCCAAAGCCTTCTGCTTTAAAGTCCCTAAACCCTAAGTCCTAAACCCCTAGCTCCCCAAACCTGGGTCGGCCCCTGAAACACTTTGACAAATATTCATATATAGGGTCCCCTATTAAATCCATTCAGGAACATACTAAATATCCCAGGGGCCTACCTAGAAACCCTAAACCCTCAACTCCTAATCCCCTAAACCCTAAACCCCTAATCCCCTTAACCCTAAACCCTCAACCCCTAATCCCCCAAACCCTAAGCCCCCAACCCCCAATGCCCCAAACCGTAAATCCCTGATCCCCTAAACCCTAAACCCCCTAATCCCCTAAACCCCTAAACTCTGTGCACCGCTCAGAGCGCCTTCTGCACAGGCGCCATGGCACGCCCGAAGAGCTCCTCAGCTGCTTCCTCGAACTCCTGGCGGGTCACAACCTGAGCAGTGGTGGACTTAAACAAGACGATTAGGGTTAGATTAAGGTTATATTGGGGTTACATTAGAGTTATAGTAGGGTTATATTGGGGTTAGATTAAGGTTATATTGGGGTTATTTATATTAGGGTTATATTGGGGTTATATTCAGCTTATATTGGGGTTATATTGGGGTTATATTAGGGTGATATTAGGGTTATTAATATATTAGGTTATATTAGGGTGATATTAGGGTTATATTGGGGTTATATTGGAGTTATATTTGGGTTATTTTGAGGTTGTATTAGGGTTACATGAGGGTTATATTGGGGTTAAGTGTATGGAGGCGATCAATCCCCTAGAGAATCCCTATAATCCCTATAGTTTCCATTCTATTTTCCATTATCCCAATATACCCCCATATATTACCCTATGTTACCCAGTGTGGAGGCTTCAGGGTTTAGAGGGAGGGTTAGAAGGTCTAGGTGTATATGGTTTCTGTTCTCAGTTTTAGTGCGTCCAGTCTGTATGGACCCTGACTAAGCTGAAGCGCAATTTTTATGGCTGGGAATGGTGCCTACACCCTAAACCCAAAGCCCTAAGCCCTGTAAGTAAGGATGTAGGGTTTAGGTTGCACCTTGCCAGCTCATGAACCCAATTGGAGAGGCCTGCTAGGTTGAATGCCCAGAGTCGCGAAAGCTCTATATATAACTCTATTATAATATAGTAGTTTCCATTTCCTTTTCCATTATCCCAATATAACCCCGCATAATCCTATTATACTACAGTAATTGGTTTCTATGTTCCTTTCCATTATCCCTATATAACCCCAATTTATGTGTATATATATATATATACCCCAACCCATAGGCCCCCATAGGTCGCAAGGGATGGCTTTTGGCCACATAGCAGTTTCATAACTAGGGCGCTGCAAAATAGACACCAAAAAATCGAATCCGCTGTATAGGGACCCCTGTATGCCTGATGACCCCTATATGTTTGGAAACCAATATACAATTCTTCTTATAGGGACCCCTATTTTTGGAAACACCCCATATTGAGCGTCGTACCACGACGCGATCGCGGCCGTCGCTGTGAATACCTGAAAGCTTCGATAGCTGCAAGGGAGAGAAGGGGGTGCAGAGATAGCATGTTAAGGGAGGAATTTTAATATAGTAGTTGCCAATTTCCTCTTCCATTATCCCGATATGACCCCGATATAACCCTATTATACTATTGTAGTTTCCATTTTCTTTTGCACTATCCGTATACATTTAACTTGCCTGGAATCTCTACCCCCCATCACCCCGCATACATCATGAGCTTACCCCTAAACCCTAAACCTTTGAAACCCTTGAAACCCTAAACCCTTTAAACCCAAAACCCTAAACCCTTTAAACCCTAAACCCTAACCCCTATATGGCTCCTTTGAAAGCTCCTGTAAGATAGTCTTGCCATGCTTGCCCTTACACCGACCATCTTCCAGGACTCTGCGTTCTCTGAAAACTGGATACATTAAGGTACAGTCCCCCTTAAGTAGATGGAATATGGGGTATATGGGGATCTTATTACACGATACCCAAAGCCATATTCTGTCTACTTAAGGGGGACTATGAGGTTTGTAGAATTTAGGGTTCAAGGCTTAGGGACACACTATAGGAAGCACAACTGCTATACACATCACCATAGTCACAGCAAGAAGGCCGCTCCTCACAATGTAAACACACAAGACCCCAAACAGGACATATTGCTATAGCAGCCCAAATATATTGCGAGACGTGTCCAACAGCGAGGCCAGAGGGTGCTAAGGGAATACGCTGTATGTCCAACAGAGAGTTGAATGTAAAAATGATAGACGATAGGCATCATGAGCGTACGACCAAGATGCAACAGAAAAGTCCTCACAGGTCAAGTCGCGGTTTGAGCCAATATGTGAAGTTCATGAATACTTGAAGGCCCAATTTGGGCTTGCAACCGCGCTGACACTACTTAAAACGCTACTTATGAGCTTGCAGTTGTGATGCACAGGTGCTGTGCTGAGTCCGCCGCAAATCATTTCGGCCTGACTTTCGTTGCTGAGCCTGGTGGACTATGCCACGAAAAGTCACCAGAACTGGGCTGAGGGTGCGGGCTGTGGAGTTTTAAGATTCAAGACAAACAGCCGGAATGGCTAGGTCTTGGAACACCCTTTTCCGCCGACCAATCCACCCCTTTCTTAGTCTGTACATGGCTCGGGCTTCAGTTCCACGTTTCACGGCATGATCATGATAATGTCTTTGATAAGTCTATGCACATAGCGCCGATAAAAGGCAAGAAGGAGGAATATCTGGCTTCGGGCATGATTGAATGCCTACACAACATGAGGAAAAACCTAAGATATTGTATACTGATGATGAAGGTGCTTTATCTCAAGAGCCTATTCAAACTTATCTGAAGGCGCAGTACATACAGCACCACAGGAAAGGGGCACATGCAAATTTCTTTGAGAGGCGATCAGAGCTTTTAAGGACATGCTATATAGGAGAGTTGTGGCTGACGAGAAAAGGGGAAAACAAGATTCAATGGACTGATTATATTCACGAGATGTTGCTGACATATAATATTCAAATGAAACATTCCGCTACAGGATTCACGCCGAAAGAGGCGAGGAAACCTAACAATGAAATATCCGTCAGGTTGAATATTGCTAGTAGCGGTACGCGGAACAGGATATATCCAGAGATTGCCAAGGGCGACGAAGTTGAGATATCAAGGAAGCGAAAGCCGAATGAGAAAGAAAGGATCGGAAATTGGAATAAAGATGTGTATACCAGAGAGATAACTGAACAGAAGCTAAATCAAAGTGATTATTATGTCGAGGGTGTGGATAGACCTTATTTGACGCTTGAATTATTGAGAGCCGAATATTCTTTTGAATTAAATGTTCTTGAGACATGCATCGAAGAGTATGTGGTTTTTATATACAGACAGAATATAACAAGTACAGGCGGAGGTGTTTTTTATTTTCCTAACGTTGGCTTCGGCTGTCTTTTTTCCTAACGTTGGCTCCACT